TTTTTAAAATTTTATTGTAAAGGTGATATACAGTTACAGTTACATAAGTCATGTAATAAGGACATTTCCTTTTGAACAGTGTCACCCCCCTCCCCCATTCCTACTCTTCTGAGAGTTGTTTTTTTTTTTTTTTAAATCATGAAATGGAGGTTGGATTGTATCAAAGCCTTTTCTATGCCAACCGATTATGACCATGATTTTCCTCCTTAAGCCTATCAAGATGGTGAATTACAGTAATCAGTTTTTGATTGTTGAATCAGTCTTGCATGTGTGGGCTAAATCTTAGTTGTCATGTGTAACCCTTTTTATACATACCAGTTTTTTGTTGAGGATTTTTATAATATTCTGAAAACAACTATAATTTTCTTCTTTATTGTATCTTTTTATGGTCTTGGAATAACACTGGCCTCATACAATGAGTAGGTGAATATCCTTTGCCTATACCATATTTTTGGTATGTGACTTAGGGAACTTGTATTATTTCTCCCCTAAATGTTTACTAGACTTTGCTGATGACACTGTTTGTACTTGGTGGTTTTGTGGGTTTGTATAGTTTGGTTTAGTTTTAGAAGATTATTCATTACTGCTTTATTTTTTTATGTATCTAGGGCAATTGGAGTTATCTGTTTCTTCTTGAGTGAGTTTTAGCAGTTGTGCATTTCTAGGAATTGGCTCCTTTTCTCTAACTTCTCAGTGACACCATACATGGTTCACAGAAGTACTATCCCATGCTTTTCTGCCCATAGATGAGTAAGGGGGAAATCTTTTCAACTTCTGACAATGGGAATTTGTCTTTTCTCCCTTTTCCTTGTATTATATTAGCTTAACTTGAGATTTATTAACTTTAAGGGCTGAGTTAATTCTTTTCTCTAAAGCTGTCCTGCTTTCTATTTCTGCTCTAAGGCTTATTCTTCATTGTTTTCCACTTGCTTTGGTTAAACAAGCTTTTTTTCTTCATTTATTTTCCTAAGATGGAAGCTTACAGGACTGTTTTTTAATCACTTTCTTGTTTGGAATATATATATATATATAGTTATGTATTTCTCACATCACTGCTTCTTGTGCATCCCACAAAGGTAAGAGATGATACTTTTGTTTTCTTTAAGTATTTTCCCCACATATGTTAAGACTTCCTTGATCTAAGGGTTATTATTTAGAAATGTGTTGTTTAATTTACAAATAACACAGATGTCTTTCTGATACTGATTTCTAGTTTTACTCTATTGCATAATTTTTTTACAACTTCTATTCTTTCAAAGTTGTCAAAGTATGCTTTTGACCAAAAATACGGTATGTTTCATGAATGCACCAAATATAAAGCTGAGAAATGAGTATTCTCTGTCATTGAGATGAAGTACCGTGTATTTTAAAACCAATAATGGAGCATTTAACTTAAATACTCTTAGAGTTAGGCATAGTGTCCCATGCCTGTAATTCCTGCTGATTAAGAGGCTGAGGAGACCAGAAGTTTCAGACCCGCATAGTCAACATAGCAAGACCCTCATCTAACACAGAAAGTAATAATGTAAAAATTATTAAAAGGTAATTCAGTTAAAATAGTATTTAATGAGGGCTGAGGACAGGTGTTTTCAGTAGCATGGTTCCTAAGTTCAGTGCTTTATACTCTTCAAATTTTCAAAACATATTTATAAATAGTGCTTCTATGTCATATTTCAAATAGTTGGCATAGTGTAAAATTTCTCCTTTTATAATCCGGTGCTACCCAGGAACTGAGCAAATACAATATTACAGATATGAACTCATATGTAAGGAACAAATTATTGTGATTTTCCCCCTATAATTATGATGAAAGCTGGAAAGCTTAAAACTTCTGTGCTAATATTCAAGAAATCTAATAACAACAGATGTTGGAGGGGATGTGGCTAAAAGGGAATGCTACAACACTGTTGGTGGGAGTGTAAACTTGTTCAACCACTTTGAAAAGCAGTATGGAAGTTCCTCAAAAGACTACACATAGAACTGCCCTATGACCCAGCAATCCCATTTCTGGGCATTTACCCAAAGGACAACAAACAAGGCCATACTAAAGCTACCAGCACAACTATGTTTATTGCAGCATTATTCACCATAGCTAAGATATGGACTCAACCTAGATGTCCCTCAATAGATGAATAGATCAAGAAAATGTGATATATCTCCAGTTAGAATGGCAAAAATCAAGAACTCTAACAACAACAGATGCTGGAGGGGATGTGGACAGAAGGGAACCTTACTTCATTGTTGGTGGGAACGTAAACTTGTTCAACCACTTTGGAAAGCAGTATGGAGGTTCCTCAAAAGACTCCACATAGAACTCCCCTATGACCCAGCAATCCCACTTTTGGGCATTTACCCAAATGTTTACAAACAAGACCACACTAAAGCTACCAGCACAACTATATTTATTGTAGCATTATTTACCATAGCTAAGATCTGGAACCAACCCAGATGCCCCTCAGTAGATGAATGGATCAAGAAAATGTAGTATAACAAACAAGTCGTTTAAGGATTCAGGTGGACCTGTTGCAACAATGAGAAGTACAAAATGTCATGTCAAAACCAGCTTTACAATGTCAGTGTGTGTGGGGGGGGGGGGGTATGATTGGGTGGGGGGGAGGGGGGAGGCTGGGAAGGGAGGTGAAGGGTAAACAAAGGAGGAGGCTGCAATGCTTGGTAAGAAATGTATGCATTATCCTGCCCATGTAATTGTAACCCCTCTGTACAGTATGTTCTCAAATAAAATTTAAAAAAAAAAGAAAACAGAAAAAAAAAAAAAAGAAAGAAAATGTGGTATATATACACAATGGAATTCTATGCCTCCATCAGAAAGAATGACATTGCCCCATTTGTTAGGAAATGGAAAGACTTGGAAAAAATTATATTAAGCGAAGTAAGCCAGCCCCAAAGAAACATAGGTCCCATGGTTTCCCTTATTTGCAATATCTAGTATATGTATGAGTCAAGCAGAAAAGGTCAGATAATGTGATGTTAGGAAAATGAACCCTTAGATATGTATTTTAATGTTTTTTTCTTTCATGCATGTGTTTCTAACGCATTTATAAGATTATTTCTTTGTTGCTTTGTATGTCCCTCCCCCACAGTATAACCCCTGCTTTCACTATATTTGATGTCAGTATAACTTGTGGAGGAGATGGGGAAAAACAAGTCGTTTAAGGATACAGGTGGACCTGTTGCAACAATGAGAAGTACAAGTTGTCATGTCCAAAACGAGCTTTACAACGTAGGTGCGGGGGTGGGGGGGGGAGGATTGGGACTGGGGGGGGAGGCTGGGAAGGAATGTGAAGAGTAAACAAAGGAGGAGGCTGCAAAGCTTGGTAAGAAATGTACGCATTATCTTGCCCATGTAATTGTAACCCCTCTGTACAGTATGTTCACAAATAAAATAAAATAAAAAAGAAAATGTGATATATATATATATATTCAATGGAATTATATATATATATATATGTATATATATATATATATTCAACGGAATTCTATGCTTCCATCAGAAAGAATGACACTACCCCATCTGTAAGGAAATGGAAAGACTTAGAAAAAAATCATATTAAGTGAAGTAAGCCAGATCCAAAGAAATATAGGGCCCATGGTTTCCCTTATTTGTAATAATTAGTATATGTCTAGGCTAATCTTAGCAGATGAGCAATAACTCAATAGCTATGTACATATGACAATATAAGATGATGCTAAGTGAAATGAACTCCAAGAAATGGACACAAGAGGTTTTTCTTTGTTGTTCTTTTCAATGTACTACATGATTTCTTTTTCCTTTTGTGTCTTTTTCCCCCCTATGACTTATCTCCTGTTGTCACTGTATTTGATTTTGGTATCCTGGGTATTGTATATACATTTATCTGAATTAGGGAAGGGAAGGATAACAAAAAAAATGGTGAGAAAAAGGATAAAGAGGGAACCAGTGCAACAGTGATATTCACAAGACAATATGTAGGAAATGATCTGTACAACTGGGGGTGGGGAGGGAAAGTAGGAAAAAAATGAGGGAGTGGGTAACAAGTTTGACAAGAAATATACTCACTACTTTACTTATGTAACTGGAACCCCTCTGTACATCAGCTTGACAATAAAATTAAAATTAAAAAATACTTCTGTGCTACTCTTTTTAAGTAAGAAAAGACAATGTTTGCCAAAAGCAAACCGGAATCCAATTCATTTTTAGTCTCCTAAGTGATTATTAAAAATCGAGGTTTGAAATGCTTCACTTCTCTGACACCACTGTCTAATTTAAACACAACTGCAGAGAATAAATGGGGAATAAATGACATAGAGAAGACACAGACACACATGTTCTATTGGTTTCCAGAGTCACCTCTCTGGATGCTGTAGCAACAAGACTCTAGTTGAAAGGCTTGCATTTTGCCAGCCACTATGGATGACAAAATTACACGTTACATAATCAGCCAACAGCTGCTCAAGAGAAAATACCACAAGCAAATAAAAGCTGATAAATCAGCAAACTGGAAAAGTCAACTAATAAAACTCTAATAAATTCAACCATACTCCATTAACTTATCAGCAGTGCTGATGAGCTCATAGGGGTACAGGGTGGGGGTAGGGGGAATGGTGATCTCCAATTACACAGCTTCTGAATTAATAATAGTCTATGAAATTCCCCTCTTACATCTTCTCTCCATGCCCCACACTATAATTCCAGCCTACCAACTAAGTACTTCAATTTTGGAGAACCATGCTATTTATTCAAACAATATGATTGAAAAAATCTGATTCTGAGAAATTCTAAGGACAAATACAAAAAAAGCCACATACGAAAATTCTGTTTTCCAGTTCATCCAGTGGACTTTGCTAAAATAAGATGAAAAAGGTATTTTTATTTCACCATCTCAAGTAGTTTTACAAAGGGGTTTCCATTCAACATATCAGTTTATGAGTATAATGCGTCTTGATCCGTGTTTACCCCGCCCATCATTTTTCCTTAAATCTTAAGACTTTTGGGAAATTACCTTTTGTTGAATCATCTTCTATTGGCTGTTTGAACAACGTAATGTCCTTGAAGGTGCACAGGAACAAGACTACCTTCTCATGTTCATTTCTTATTGGTGCAATTTGCATATAAAACCAAACAGGTGTTCCTGTAATGAAAAGTGAGAAAAGACATCGGATGTGACTGAGTCACAGTAGTGGTTTATTCTCCTACTTTCCCCTCTTCCTTCAGCTGCCAACTGCTGTGCTAGGATTCAGTTCCAAAAATAACAGTTATTTTGTTGCTCCAGAGAATTTTTTTAATTTGTTAAGTGAACTATCAATTGTTCACATTTAATAGACATATTTTTTCAACCCTAAACATGAAAGCATAAAGTCTGTCACACCACAACCCAGACACACCCAAACAGCCTTGCTATATTGAAATAATGCCAAGCTAAGGCCTTTAGCTCTGGGTTCCCATGCCTAAACTGCCCTCCCTGACTTCCTCTTGACAGTTTCATAGACTGTGATCACTTTCTCGGTGTTTCGCTCATCTTGTCACTTTGACAAGTGTTTCCAATTAACCACACCACCAATACCTGATGCTCCGGCAAGGACTGCTCCTGAGGGAACAGCCGAAATGCTGCTTCTCTCCCAAGGCTCTCCCTTAAGTCAGGTATACTTAGATGACACCATTTTACTTTTCACTGTGTCCCCACCTCAGAGAGAACTTCAACAACATGTGATATCTGCCTTAAAGGGGGAGAAAATTATGCTCCTTGCCCTTGAGAATACCAGGTGTCTTCCTATTCATCACTCAAAAGCACAAGGCAGCAGCTTTGCTACCACCTGAGCCATGCAATTGAGCCATTCCTCAAAGGATGGCCAGTGTAGACTATAGAGAGAAAGGGGCTTTGGAGCATTCAAGAATTAGGACCTAAGTAAACCAGAAACTAGCGTGTGGCAATAATAAATAGATAGCAGCATGGGAAATGTCTTGAAGGAATAATTATCTATTGAGGGATAGTGCACTGAAGGAATGCACACGAAGCCATAGTACACTAAAGACTCACCCCCCAGACAATCTATCTTAAACATCTAAAAGGTTTCATTAGGTTTTAGATTTGGATAACAAAATGTTCAACTACTAGCAGTCTGTAAATGAGAATTCATAACCTCTCAGTGATTTCAATGAACCAAATAAGTATTATCACACTCTTATCCAGATATATGCTACCTCAATGCCACCACAAAGTGGGAATGTGCCATTTAGACAAGATGAGATGACTCACTCTCCATGCTTGAAAAGTCAGAGAATGAGAAAGAAGAGACTTTTATAGGAATTCTGTCTGGCCAGTAGTTCTTTTGTGACCCCAGCAATGACAGAAGGACATAGCCCTTTCCAATATGACTGAAGAACGAGACAGGAATCTTGAATACAGTCACATCCCCTCCCAGGCCAGCTTGCTGTTGGCTTTCTGCTCATTTCCCCAGTACATCCAGGAACTCTGAACGATGTGCACAGTTTTACAAATAACCAGCCCCGACCACTATTGAGTACGCAGCCTGTGGTCATTCCAACATGGTGAGCTAGAACCAGAGGGGTTATAAACAAAGAGAAAGGGCATTAAAAATAAGTTATTTCCCAAGGTCTGTTAGAAAGCTGAACAGAAAGGGACGCGGTGTTACATTTCATGCCTTCCTAGGGAAATGCAACTTCTTAAATTCTGGCAGAGATCGGGGCTGTCTTTAAAAGCTGCTTTCAGACATCGAGATTTTTTTTTTTTCTCCAACTTTTCAAGCCATGAAGCCAGACCTCCCCCAAGCATCCTGAATGTTTGCCAAATAGCTGGCAAAATATCCTTTTTATCCTTCCTTTTGAGGTCAATTATGGCTGGGGAGTCCAGGAGGCAAGCACAGAAGGGCTTGTAGCACAGGAAGCAAGTTGTCACTGGACACTCAGAGTAAGGCCTTGACCTTCGTTCTCAGAGAAGGCCTGGTGACCCCATTTCTGCCTCAATGTATACTAGGAGTCATTTTGAATCATCTCACCAGAGGTAGTTTATCTTTCTCCACGGAAGAAATAGCCCCCTGCGAATCAGAGTCCTGGACCCAAAAAATAGACAGGGTCTGCAAACATCCATCCTGACACACATCAACTCAAATGCCACAATCTCTCCATTTTCAAAATGGTGTTGAAGCTAATTACTTAATGGAAATGTTGGGAGAGCTTAGCATCCAGGCATCATTCCCAAAAGAGTTTCCTACGGATTTGGGAATTTTTCTATCTAATATTTTTTAAAGTCACAAGAATACACTTGTTTCAGCTGAGAGCTAGCCACTTAGATGTTTTAAGCTATTTTTAAATAAAATTCCATTTTAGTGCATAGATAGCACTTATTCTTCACATTAAAGAAAAAAAGTAAAATTTAAGGCAGATAGTATAACAGAGGGTTTTTAGTTGACAGTGCAATGAGATGTATCTCCAATTATTTATAGGCAGATATCTATACATATGTGGTATGTATATATATACATATACATATATAAACATATACATACACATATAGGTAATTACCTAAGGAAAACCAGACAGATCTGAACAAATGTCAAATCGTAATCTTAATCCAGTAACAAAATACCTAAACTACCATGGAAGAGTAATCTTAACCCAGTAACAAAATACCTAAACTACCATGGAAGAAAAATCTTGCAAATGTAAATTTCACATTATTACTAATATGACTTAATATAAATACACAAATCAGAATTCTACTAATGTATTTTTGAAAACTTAGAATTTATGGGCCTACCTTTATGTCTGAAAAATCAGGTAATAATGTTTAAATAACAGAGCAAATGACTTTAATAATGCAGAGTGTCACCAAATTGCTAACGTTGAGGGTACTTGTTCATAGGCTAACACATCAATGTGAAAAAGAAGACAGTTTGGGCATATGAATATCCTATGAATTATCAATACATATTTGCACCTGAGGAAAAAGACTCAGCACTTACAGCTCCCTTTTCTCTTACTGAAGAAAGAGGTGATCAGAAGCAATTATTTTTCATATGATAAGCCAACTGACATTTGGCTATGACTTCAAATAAAAATATCTATTTGGCCAAGAACCTAAAATGCAAGATAAGATGATGGCACACACTTTAGGTAAAACCACAAAATACAACTGCTCCCACTAGCAAATGCACTGATCTGAGGCAATATCTATTTGCTAATCTACTACTAGTAAGGAGGCGAAATCTGATTTTAATTCCAACTATTCCACAGACAGCCACAAACTGAGAGAAGGGAAAGGACAGATTATGTACTGATAGGCAACTGGACAGAGAACAAATATTTCCTGTTGAAGGTAGAATGTTTCCCAAGTTTGGGAAGAGTGTAGTAACGTCAGTGTCCACTGAAGGTAACGATGGACTCTGCTGTCATTTATCATGAACACAAAATGCAAGGACTCATTTATGAAGTTGCTGTCTACTTGGAGAAAGAAAGTACAATTTGAGAAAGAAATAACAAGAGATAAAAGCAGGTATTCAGTGGCAGGAAAGAAAGTTAGAAAGGGGACTTGATAATTGAGAATACTTACTGGCTTTTTTTTATTTGATTTCTTTCTTCCAAACTGATGGAGAGATTATATCATGAGGTTTTATATGATTATATACTGGACAAGTATATACTATATATACATATGTACATACACACACACACACACACACACACACACACACACATAGATCTCCAATTCTAGAGAATGCTCACAATAGTCAAACAAATTCAGCAGATGTGCCTAGCATATGAGTGCTCTTACTATTCTTCCTCAAGAAACAGCATAAGTATAAACAGGACCACATCAGTAAGGACAGGCCTCATGTCCTGTGTTCATGTGGAAAGGTAAGTATGTACCAGTAACTACAAAAAGAAATTCATGAATTGCTGTCATTTTTAATTACTTTCACATGACAGCAATTAAATATTTATCATGCATATTGATGACAAAATATTTTCCTGGCTGACATACAAAAAAAGTCACATTTAAAGGCAATCTACATATTGGAAGAAAATATTTACACGCTAGTCATTTGATAAGGGGTTAATATAAAAAAGGTACATACGAGCTGGGAGCCAGTGGCTCATACCTATAATCCTAACTACTCATGAGCCTGAAATAGGGATTGAAGTTCAAAGTCAGACAGGCTGGAAAGTCCATGAGACTCTTATCTCTAAATAGATCACTAAAAAGCCATTCTAGTGGCAGAGCACTAGAGCTGGAAAAAATCAGAGACATAAAGCCCCAGTAATAACATTACAAAAAGACATTTTGCTATCTGCAACAACATGAATAAGAATAGGAGAACATGAATAACAAAATAAATCAGACACACAAAAACCACAACTGCTCTTTCTTCAGGGCTATTTAAAATAAATGAATAGGAGCAGAGGACAGAATAGTTACCAGAAAGAAGCTGTAGGTACAGAAAATGACTATCAAAAGTATAGACTCCAGAACAGGAGAAATGTGTTTGTGAGATCTACTGCCTCACAGAGTAAATTTATTTAATAATAGTGTAAGTCACACATCAGAATTGTCAAGAGAGTACGTTTCAATTGCCCTCACAACTAAAAATAAATATCTAAAGTTTTATATATACATATGTCTAACTATGTGATTTAAATATTACATATTGTATTTATAAATCATAACATCACTTTGTACCCCATAACTATGTACAACAATTTGTTAAAATAAAATTTTAAAAAATAAAATAAAATGCATCATATTTTTCTTCTGTTCTTCACAATATTGCTTTCACTGGTAAAATTATTTATCAATTTTACTACCTGCTTTCACCAACAACCTCTTCTCCTGCCAAGAGGAATAATCAAAGTTTACATCCTCTATAATGTCACACAACTATAATTTACCAAAATAAAACACGAAGAAGGCACTGTCTCATCTTACTGATAACAGAAATACCTACTGTTCTTTTTGTACAGAAGAACTTCAAAGCAATTTGACTCGTAGTTGTCAAAAGTCTGCCTGACTTTCTCAATGGTCTTCTTGTCAGTCAATTCTCCATACATAAAACTGGTGAGAGAAGAAAATATAACAATCCATTTCAACGTTTTTGTTGCTTTGGAACTGTGACCTAAAACCATCTTCAAAATGTGCGTATAAAATAGAAAGATCCTCCAATACAATTATCTAAAGGATCTAAGCCAATATTTAAATAAATTGTATTTATTTGCATACATTTGAGGTTTACAACATATGTTACCAGCTATGTATAGATAGTAAAATGGTAAAGCATGTTTTAATCATTATTGTTAAGCTTCATGCTAACAGCTAGCTTTGTTTGTTTTTTGTTTTGGGTCTGGTCGTGGCGCCTGAACTCTGGGCCTGGGTGCTGTCCCTCAGCTCTTCAGCTCAAGGCTAGCGCTCTACCACTTGAGCCACAGCGCCACTTCCAGCTTTTTTCTTTCTGCTTATGTGGTGCTGAGGAATCGAACCCAGGGCCTCAGGCATGCAAGGCAAGCACTCTACCACTGAGCCACCTTCCCAGCCCCTAACAGCTAGCTTTGGAAGCTACTTCAGAGAGAGAGAGAAAGAAAGAGAATCCCTGCAGAGTTCTTATATGTACAGATTTCAATTACTATGGTTTAATTAAATAAGACAACTTTCACAACACACAGTCCAAAATATCAGTTACCACAGGATGATGCTAACTGTGAGCAACTGCACAAAGTACAAGTTTCATTACTGAATGCCCAGTATACAAGGGACCAGTACTAGCATCTACCTTCATCTGTGGTTTCACTTACCCATCCATCACCAAACATTGTAAATGGAAGGTTTCACAACAAAAATTCATAAATTTCATGTGCCCGTCATTCTCACTACCATGATGAGATCTTGTCCCCACAGTTCTTCCACGCAGGTCATGAATGATCCCTTGTCTGGGACATGTGTACTCTATTTGCAACCAAACACTTGACATGCCAGTGTCATTACAGTCCTCTCTGTTTTCAAGCTGCAGTTCTGCAGTGCTTGTGTCCTGACATTTCACTTAATAATGTCATCAAGCGTAACAGTAAGGATTTAGAAATACTAAAGCAAGACCCTAAAGTGCTTCTTTTATGTGAAAAGATGGCAGTATAACAGTGGATGTTGAGCAAGACAGAGAGAAAGAGAACATACTAACATCCATTCCATTACAGCAGACGGTTATATTTGTTCCGTCATTATGATCACTGTTCATCTTTTCTATGCCTGGCTTCACCTTTTTCATAGGTATACATACATAGGATAAAAAGTATATATAGGGTTCTGAACTATCTATTATTTCTGGCATCCATTTGGGATCTTGGAACATATTCCTAAGGACAAGGGGAGCCACTGTAAATAAAGATGCACACCATAAGCAGAGACACATCATATCACTTCCTTAAAGCCTGCCGGTGTGTAGTCATTATTTGATTCCCACAGTTAGCAAAGCATGGAGTTCTGTTGTCTTCTTGTCTCTCAGCAACATATACAGGTGGCATTTTATAAAAATCGGACGCAGCAGAAATGAGACAGCAAAGAAAGTCTACCAAAAATGCCTAGTGCAGTCCTCCATGGTTACAATCCAAGCCACTTGTGAGGATCACAGTTCAAGGCCAGTGTGGACAGAAAGTTTGTGAGACCTCATTTCAATCAATAAAATAATCAGGGTGTGGTAGTTCATGTTTGCCAATGTAGTTACAGGGAATGTTAAATAGGAGGACTGTGGTCAGGCTAGTCCAAGGAGAAAGCCAGACCCTTTTCAAAAGGCTAACTAAAGTAAAAGGGGTCAAAGGTATGGCTAAAGTGGTAGAGCGTCTGCTAGCAAGTACAAGGCCACATGCTAGTAACAAAAAAAAAAATCAGAAATCTTGGGACTGAAGAATTCAATAAGTCAAATCAAATACAAGACACAGGTAAAAGTTTTAATAAGCAAGCTCAAGCAATAGAGAGAATTTCTGAACTTGAAGACAAAATGCCACAAAATGTTGTTGTTGTTGTTGTTGTTTGGGAGGAGTGTTTGTGTGTGTGTGTGTGTGTGTGTGTGTGTGTGTGTATCAGTAATGAAGCTTTTGCTCAAGGCCTGGGCACTGTCCCTTAGATTTTTTTTACCACTTGAGCCACACCTCCACTTCCAGCATTTTTGGGTGCTTCATTCAGATAACTTCATGTCCTTTCCCGCCTGAGCTGACTTGGAATCACCATCCTCAGATCTCAGCCTCCTGAGTAGCTAAGATGTACAGACCTGAACCACCAACACCTGCCTGATTCACAAAATTCTGTTGGTTTTTGTTTTAATTTTAGTGGAAACAAAAGTGAGCCAGTGCCTACTATATATCAGGTTTTTGTAAAACAGAAATGTAGGCACTCTCTCCTCCCATAGGGCTGAGGAGGACACAGCAGGCTGCCTTGCTCTATCTGGAAATCTGAAAGCTATAATTTACAAATTCTGCATGAGCTCTATTATCTCAACCGGATTGCTGGGCATAAAGACAGAAAACATCTCATACATGAGGATGTTTATCTCCACACTGCTTGGGTGGGAAAGTGTTGGGTTCCATGGCAGGAAGCAGTGAAGAAGCCAGAGTGCTGGACAACAGTAACACATAACAATGAACCACATAGATTGTGATTTTAAAAAGTTCTCTCTCATAAGCCAGGCGTCGGTAGCTCACACCTGTAATCCTAGCTACTCACAATTCAAAGCCAGTCCAGGCAGGAAATTCTGTGAGACTCTTATCTCCAATAAACCACAAGAAAACTGGAAGTGGTGCTGTGACTCAAGCAGTAGAGCGCTGGCCTTGAGCTGAAGAGCACAGGGACAGTGCCCAGGTCCAGAGTTCAAGCCCCAACAGACAAAAAGAAAGAATGAAAGAAAGAAAAGAAAGAAAGAAAGAAAGAAAGAAAGAAAGAAAGAAAGAAAGAAAGAAAGAAAGAAAGAAAGAAAGAAAGAAAGAAAGAAAGAAAGAAAGAAAGAAAGAAAGAGAAGAAGAAAAGTTCTCTCTCATATGTGGAAGCCACAACTAATTTGTAAATATACAGGGAAACACATAGTGTTGTATACAAATGTACACAAATGTATTAACCAAAGTATGGTATCTGCAGGGGAAAAACTAACTCACAACTAAGTCATAGTCCAACAGAATGAATACCAGGAAAGAGGTAATCAAATGCTGAAGAGGAGGCAGGTCAAGAGGAGGGGGTAGATGAATGAAGAGGAAATGGGAAGAATGTAGTCACGATATTCGATGCATATCCTATGAATCTAAGGAAAACCAAAGCAAGGGATGGGTTGGGGGGGAGGGGAGAGAATGATGAAAGGGATGACACTGACCAAGATGCATTGTTTACAACCTGATTTGTTGAATGGTAACTCCTTTTTACAACTACTTAAAGATACCAAAATATAAATTTTAACAGACATTAAGAAAATCTCAACCTAATGCTCAATGAAGACAGTTAAAGGAATATTACTCCATGGTAGTAGCACTGATGTAGGTCATGCAAATGAGCACACAGAAGCAACATTTCAAGCATATATCTATTTATTAAATATATGGAAGATGGAGGTGGGTGTCAATGGCTCACACCTGTCATCTTAGCAATTCAGGAGACGGATATCTGAAGATCACAGTTTGAAGATAGCCAGGGCAGGTAAGTCCATGAGATTCTTATCTCCAATTCACTACCAAAAGGGACAGAAGTAGAGCTGTGGTTCAAGTGGTAGAACACTAGTCTTGAGCAAAAAAGCTCGGGGACAATGCCCAGGCCCAGGACTGGTGATAGATAGATAGATAGATAGATAGATAGATAGATAGATAGATAGATAGATAGATAGATAGACAGACAGACAGATAGACAGACAGACAGATACATAGATAGAAGATGAATTTAAAACACACTAATAATAAACACTTGAATGATTGTGAAAAGAGGAACAGGAGGGATAGGATTGGATAGGATATGCTGAATAAACTAGGGAAATAAAAGCACAATGATTATATAGTAAGAAAAAAAACTAACTAAAAAAAGCATATTTAATTTGATTCTGTCCAAAGGAGAAGGGGAAAGGCACAAGAAGGAAACGGAAAGAAGCCAGAGTAAGTGGCCTCTTAGCCTCTTGATAGTATAACAAACACAAGTTAACATCTTTTATTTTCCATTAAAAAAATTCACATTTGAATATTTTAAAAAATATGACATATAATCATTTATGTGGTTGCCATTTTATTCCTACTAATTCATCTAATACAAATGGTACATAAAACCAATTGCTTTTCTCTAATGTAGAGTGACACAAGCTATATTTCCCCCATGTAAACTGAAGCTCCCTGATTTGTAGCTTCTCGTGTTTGCCTAAATGTGTCATTACAGCAATTAGTGAAAATTCTTTGAGTTATTTATTTCCTGTGCCAAACGTTTTATTTCCATCTTAACTGCAATTCTGTGACTCCAAAATGCTATAATCATTTGTAAGTATGAACATTATATTTCTAAACCTATATATGATTTTCCTCTATCCCTCATTTCCTTGTGTCTCATTTTTAAAGAGTATTTAAAAAAAATGTATCCCAGGAATGGGAGGAAAAGATGTATTTTAAGGGAAAAAAAAGTACATCACTAGGCTTAAGTAACAAAGTACCTGCTTAGCAAGTGACGCTCTGAGTTCAGATTCTGGTCCTACCACCCACACCACCCCACCGCCAAACCTGGAGACTAAAAAATTTGGTATGGATTTATGTGTGATTTTTTTTCTAAAAAATTTAAAATTATGATGCAAATTGTTTCAAAAACAGAACAGTGTCTTTTCTGGCATGTTTGTTGGTGTTTTTTTTTAACTTGGTAAGTGTTGTGAGCTTTTTCTAGGGCTATTATATTCCAACATATGTAGAACATCAAGGCTTTGCTGTAAAGCTTTTTATTTTTGGTGCTAGCCCTGGGGCTTGAACTCAGGGCCTAGGTTCCTGAGCTGTTATGTTCAAAGCTAATACTCTACCACTTAAGTCATAGCTTCACTTCTGGGGTTTTGAGGGGTTTTTTGATATTTAACTGATTGAAAATAAGAGTCTTATGAACTTTCCTGCACAGGCTGGTTTTGAATCATGATCCTCACTCAGATCTCAGCCTCCTGAGTAGCTAGGATTACAGGCATGAGCCCCAGCACCTGGCAGCCATAATACATTTTAACAGATCTCCTACAAGTAGATACGTTAATTACTTTTAAGTCTTCATGCTTCCAAATAATACCGCAGTAAACCTATAATGAGCATAGTTTAATTTAAAAGGGAGGAAAGAATATGTTTAAAATCAGAGGACATTAAAATAAATCATGTCCCCAAGAACAACCTGCTGCCAGGGCTCAGATATGATTTGTTCATTTGTCAGATGCTATACTTTATCATTCTATGTAGACCTTAAACTGGCTGTGGTTCTCAGATTAGCAAAATACACAGCATTTTGTGCAACAAGTGAAAATTGTTTCTGTTCAGAATATAATCACCTTTAAAATGCTATCTCTAAGCCAGGCACTGGCAGTTCACACCTACAATTCTAGCTATTCATGAGCCTGAGATAATAGGATCACAGTCAGCCCAGGCAGGAAAGTTGATATTTACCTCTAACCAGCAAAAACTAGAAGTGAGGGCATGGTTCAAGTGGTAGAGTGCCAGCCTTGAGTGGAAAAGCTAAAAGACAGTGCTCATGTCTTGAGGTCAAGCCCAAGGATGAACACACACACACACACACACACACACACACACACACACACAAGATGGATCTGAATCTTGCACTGAGGCATTTCACACATGAGTCTAAGTAGACATATGCCTTTCAGTCGCTTTCAGAATTCTGACCCATTTTAGGACCCCAGTCTGTTCTGACACCCACCTGCATGTGCTGCTTTTCTGCATGACGTCAGCTCGGTGATACCCAGAGAGTTTACAAAATCCGTCATTACTGTAAACTACAGGCCAGTCCACAATCTGGGCATTTCCCAGCAAGAAACTCGATTCTAGGATGGAAAGAAGAAAAAGATAGTTATTTAACTTTACTCCATAATTTGCTCCTTTCAAGTAATCAAAAATGTAAATTCAAGAGAATGAGCAAACACAATAATGGTTTGTTATGATACAAGTAATAAAATCAGTTGTTGAAATTAAAATCATCAATTTAGGAGGGTCAGTGAGAACAGCAATGAACACTAAAACTTCCATTCAAAAGAAACCCTCTTCTATTGCAACAATGAGATATACAAATCATTATGCCAAAAAACAAACTTTACAACTTGCGGGGCGGGGGGGGGGAGAGGTAGGGAAGGCAGGAGGGGGGAGATGGGAAGGGATGGGAAGGGGAAACAAAGGAGGAGGCAACAATGCTTGATAAGAAATGTACTCATTATCTTGCTCATGTAATTGTAACCCCTCTGTATGGTATTTTCACAGCAATAAAAAAAGAAAAAAAAAGAAACCTCTTATAATCCCTCTTTGCATTCAAGTATACCCTATATTGCAAAAAGAATATATGGTATTAAATACTGTTAATGACTATAATAACTAAAACTAAAATTTGAGTAACTGATTAAAAGTAGAGCTATTGTCCCTTTTCTACAAATTGAAAATAATGAACTTGTAATAGGCAAATTAGATGACCACCTCCCAAAATAAATCTATTAATATAATTTTAATATGATAGAAAAATTCTGTGTATGTTAAGTTGATCTTTAAAAAAAACTTCTCCTTAATACTTTGAGTATTTTAAAATAAAATTATTCAAAGGTATTATTTTTTTCTACCACATGCTATACAGAATTTGAAGCTGCCAATATTCTATATAAAAGACATCCCTGTTCTACTTTACACTGAAAAGTAGGTTTGCTTTAAACATAAAACTTAATACACACACAAAAAAAGTAACAGACTGGGATATAGTTAAGTGTTAGACAAGGCTCTAAGTGTAAACACCAGTACTGCCAAAATAATAATAATAATAATAATAATAATTTGGTATCAACCTCAATTGAAAAATCTGTTTCAGTCCTCAACTTTAGCAGTGTTGTAGATCATGTGATAAAAAATGAAAATGATCCAAAATAATACTAAAATATTAAAATGAGAAATTTTCTTTTGTGCCAGTCCAGGGACAGGACACTGTCCCCTGAACTTCTGTGCTCAAGGCTGGCACTCTATCACTTGAGCCACAGCTCCACTTCTAGCTTTTGTGGCAGTTAATTGGAGATAAGAGTCTCATGGACTTTCCTGCCCAGACTGGCTTTGAACCTAAATATTTCGCTCTCAGCCTCTTGAGTAGCTAGGATTATAGGCATGAGCCCAGCTCTTCAGCTCAAGGCTAGTGCTCTACCACTTGAGCCACAGGGGCCACTTCCAGCTTTTTTTCTGTTTATGTGGTGCTGAGGAACTGAACCCGGGGCCTCATTCATGCAAGGCAAGCATTCTACCACTGAGCCATTTTCCCAGCCCTTAAATAAATTTTAAAATAGTAAAAATTCCAAGGAATCTTGTGCCACAAAACATCTACTAAAGCCTGAGTCTTCTTTGGACTGACACTGAGGGTAGAATACAACTAGAAATAGAAGGTAATTTCTATTTAAATCCTGACTCAAATTTGGACTTCATAGAAACAACAACACAAATCAACATTTACTAAGTAGTAGATACTCCATACAGGATATCGCTCTGGATCCTACAATGGAATGGAATAAAAGTAAAACATGTTCTGCTTTCATGAAATTAACATGTTTTAAAAACACGTGTTGCAGGGCTCCAGGGGCGCCTGCCTATAATCCTAGCTACTCAGGAGGCTGTAATCTGAGGATTCTAGTTCAAAGCCAGCAGGGGCAGAAAGTCCCCATGAGATTCTTATCCCAGAAAAAGTGGGAAGGGGCACTGTGGATCAAGTAGTAGAACACTAGCCTTGAGCACAAAGAGACTCAAGACCTGAGTTCAAGCCCCAGGACTGGCAAAAAAATAATGTGTAATAACCAAATATGATTTAGCAGAACAGATAGCAAAGCAAAGAGTAAAGCATAATGCAGGAGCAATAGTCTTTAAAAGGCATGAGGATATAGTTAAACTACACAGAAAATGAAAACAAAGTATCTTTTTACAAACTAGACATATTAGGCAAGACATCCATTGAACTAGGTTGAGGGCGTTTAAGCGGAAATATCCTGATATATAGTCCTAAAAACAGAAGAAAGAATAATAAAACTCCTAGAAGATTCCTTCCTAGCAATCTGGAGAAAGACACATTTTCTTAATTAAAACTCACATAGCATACATCAGAAAAGAAAGTGTTGGTAAATTAGGCATCATCAAAATGAAAATCAACTCCTTATTTAAGGACACCGTCAAGAAAATAAAAGAGAAACCTGCAACCTAGGAAAAAATATTCATAATCCAGCGATCTGAGGATTCCAATCCAGAGAATTATAAAGAATTCCTAAGAAAGATCAAGCCACCCAATTAATGAAATAGGAAAATTATTTGAATCAGCATTTCACTAAATAAGGCATGCAGCCACCAATAACCATAAACTACAATGCTCCCAATCATCAAACAACAGGAAAGTACAAGCTGAAAGTAAAACAATACAGTGCCACGCCATCACTACAGTAGTTCCACAAGCAAGCAGTGCAAACTGTTGATGAGAATCTAGGGCAGCCGGATGTGTCTATAAAATTCCATTGAGAATATAAAGTGGCATGGTCACTTTGAAATACAGTTTCTTGTAAAGTTAAACATTCATCTCTGACCCAGAAATTCCACCTCCACCTATTTCTTCTAGGAAAATGAAAACATATGTTAACAAAAAGACTTAGAGAAAAAAGGTTCACTTCAGATTTATTCATAGCAGTCAAACAATGTCCACTGACAGTATACATTTAAAATTGTGTTAGATTCAAACAAGGAATATTACTCAGCTCTGAAATGGAATAAACTTCTAAGACATGTAAAATTAGAGGTAAGTCCTTAAAATATTTTGGTGACTGAAAGAAGTCAGAAACTAAAGTATGCATATTATGTTTACTCATTGTATATAAATTTTAAAAACAAGTAAAATTAATGGGGCTATAGGTATCAAAGCTGTGATTTCCTTTTGTATTCATGGTTGTAATAAATGCTTAAAGTGATAAATATGCTAATTACCCAGAAGAATATATTATCTATTACCTATTATCATAATATATACATGTATAATATAGTATCTGCTCATATATTCAATCAGACCTAGCAACTCAGAGTGTGTGTGTGTGTGTGTGTGTGTGTGTGTGTGTGTGTGTGTGTGTGTGTGTGTGTGTGTGTGTGTGTGTTAGTCCTAGGGCTTGAAAGGGTCTGGGTGCTGTCCCTTAGATTTTGTGCTCAAGGCAAGCAGTCTATCACTCGAGCCACAGCTCCACTTCTGATTTTTTGGTGGTTAATTGGAGGTAAGAGTCTCAGAGACCAGGCTTGTTCCAAACCACCATCCTCAGATCTCAGCCAGCCTCTTGAGTAGCTAGGATTACAGGCATGAGCCACCAGTGCCTAACTAAAACTCAGACTTCTTGATAACTTAACATTTAAAAGGAAAAAGACCAAGAATAAGTTTTCTATTTATCATCATGCTTCAGTATAGTATTAGACCATGAGAATGAAGCAATGGGGCTGAGTGCTACCTAGCCCTAACAGGAAGCCTGAATGACTGCACTTGAATAATATACCCTATGATCTGATGGAAGAAAAATATTAGAGCTGCTTCTACCATTTCTAAATGTTTTATAAAACCAGAGCTGAGTTAATTAGCCAGTGCTAATATGAGAAGTCATCAACTGGTAAATGCTCAAAACAAACTATTACAAAAGGCCCTGTACCAAATATTTCTCTCAGCACTTGAATCTCTTTTCAATATTACCAAGAGGAGCAGTTGGGGAGTTTTAATTAGACTGTTAGTATACTCAAAAATCATGAATGACAGTAATAACCAGCACACTGAATAGTTGTGGAAGTTGAATAATGAATAGAAGGAGTAACGAGAATCCTATCTTTATAGAGTAACTATTGAAATAAAAAGTCTTTAAAGAATATTAATTACTTACAATATTACTGATTACACTACCCTGTAATACGCAGAGTGTGTGTGTGTGTGTGTGTGTGCACATGTGCACATACATACACACACGCACATACACACACACACAAAAGAACCTAGGAGAAAAAAAACAAACTTTTAACTATTGACCCTACAAACCAAAACTTTAAAAAAAATCACATCAGAAAGGCTAAGGTACAAAATAATTTAATGATGAAATATTAGAAATTAGACTTTTTAATAGGGCTAAATTATTATGAAATTGCCATATATGAAAGTATCCACACGCTTCTTTTATCAATTTGCCTGTTTTAGTTGAAACACTCAGTGATATGAAATATTCATATCTGCTCCATTTCCCTGCAGTCATAAACATCTTGTTTCAACAAATGAGAATCTAATATTATTAATAAATATAAGGGCATGATAGCAGATTAATTAAAATTGCTTCTCAGAAATTTTTAATTTCCTTTAGCTTTAAAATAGGATGGGAAAAAGAAATCTGATTACAGAGAAACAACTTCTCTGAAAAAAAAATGCAATTTGATCCAGAAGTTTCTGAATCATGAAGCAATTAAGGGAATTGTCCAGAATTCTCAGTGACATCACCAACCTTATCAACCAATCCTGACAGGAAAACTAGTTCTGGTTGGTTCTCACTCTTCTGGCACACTTGGAACCGTGAATTCTGAAAATTAAACCAGCCTTAATATCCAGTTGCTCCTATCCTTGATATTTACAAGCATTTTGTCTCCAAATGGTACAAATATGCAATATGGTCTTGCAGAAAGTACCTAACAACCAGGGAGACATCCCCACCAGAAGGTACAACCTTAGAAGCTAAAAAAGCTGCATATCAGTATATTCTTGGCTGAATTTCTACAAGAAACTTAGGTTTAAAAGACTATTATAAGACTAATATGAAAA